CTCAAAGTAATCAACAGGATGAAACAAGCTGCATGTTTAGTGTCAACGTCGAAACCAACACACGTATACGCATCAGAATTGGTCAGCATGAATGAAGATGTCAAAAGAAAATTAACTTCAAAAGACCACATGACAAGGAGACTTAGATATCAAAAAAGAAAACATTTTCCAAAAGAACCTGAATCTGCGACAGATTTGAATATTCCGGACGATTTTAAAACAATTAGTAGCACAAGTGACACGCCGTTCCTCATGTACGATAATGGAATAAATTCAGAAAATCGTTTGATTTTGTATTCATGTTTGAACCAGCTAACGATTCTTTCAACTCATTCAAGGTATATAACTACCGATATAAATATATGTTGCTAGATAATATATTATATTAATATATAATAATATTATTTTTCAATATATAATAATTATTTTAAATTTTTTTAGATGGTTCATGGATGGAAATTTTTCGTTATGCCCAAGGATTTTTCATCAAATTTACATAATTCGCATCCAAACGAGAGATGATTTGTACATAACATGCGTTTATGTTTTAATGACAACCAAAACTCAACAAAGCTATGAAGAATTATTCAGAGCTTTGAAGGATGTTGCACAGAGACATCAATTAACATTACAACCAACTGATGTTATGATTGATTTCGAAATTGCCCCCCGGAGAGGAATTCAAGACATGTTTGGTCACCACGTTCAGATTAAAGCATGTTTTTTTTCATCTGACTCAAAGTTCCTGGAGGAAAATTAATGAACTTGGATTAAGTGCGACTTATAAGCAAAATGAAAACATAAGACACTTTGTAGGAATGGTCGATGGGCTCGCCTTTCTACGAATCCAAGATGTGGAAGAAGGGATAATTTATTTGTTAAATAACATCCCAAATAATGATGACGACATAAGAAAATTTGTCAATTATTTTGATGAATTTTATTGTCGTGGAAAATTAAGAATAGTGCCCGGCAATAATCCACTCACCATACTTTTGAGGAGGACACCACCAGTATTTCCCCCTGAACTTTGGAACATGAATGAAATAACAGTTAGTGGGAATGCTCGAACAAACAATATTTGCGAAGGCTGGAACAGTTCTTTTAGGAGTTTAGTGGGCCATTCTAACCCGTCAATTTGGACCTTACTGAGAGCTTTCCAGTTAGACAGATCGATGAATATCAATGCATTTAATCAACTTCAAGAAGGTCGACCAACCTTGAAAAAAACATCTCAACACACAATTAACCATCAACGAAGATTGCGAAACATTTGCAACGATCTGAATAATGAGTTTGTTACCATACCCATAGCTTTACAAGCGATAGGACATACCATACTACTTACAAGAGATTACGATTACATTTAAAAACTCTGTTTTTAATACTTAATTTGCAATGATTTCTCCTGTTTACAATTATACAATGCATCTTTTATTAGTAATTTTATCAATCAATCAAATCAATCAAAATACATTTATGTAGAGCAGTTTCCCAAATTCAATTGCGCTCAAACTAAACTAGCAAAATAAACCACC